CTCTCTCTCTCTACCACCTCCAGCAGGTCTGCTCTCCTGCTCCAGCCCTGGGCAGACAGAATTCCATGGACACCATGACCCTTGGCTTTTCCCTTCTCCAGTGTATAAGCTTTCATCTTTCCGGGCTCAGGAGTTTCATTTGATGGTTGCTGTGGCTGAATCCCCAAAGGTGGCAAGAGGCTCAGACCAGGAACAAGTGGCTGTGGGATCAGAAGCTCCAAGGTGGCACAAGCCCATGTCTCCCCTGGAAGTCCAGGAAACCCTTCTCCCAGTGCCCAGGACAGCAGGTGGCCCATGCTTACCTGGGTCCCAGCTGCCCAATCTCAGCAGCCCACCGCCTGGGTGCAGCTGCCACCCGCACGGAGGGCTCTGGAAGCTGGGGTCAAGGGTCTGGGACAATCCGTAGATACACGACTCCTCTTCCTCTGACTTGCTCAGGGGTCTCTCTGGGTCTTTCAGTTTTTCACTGTGTGATTCTCTCTCTCCTTCTCAGTCTCACCCTTTCCTTCCTGCCCAGGTTGGCTGTCCAGCCTGCACTGCTGCCCTCTCTTCCCCACTCCAGAGCCTTCCCCCAGGAGGCGGAGTCGGAGGGGCCTCCACGGTCTGGGTGCCATGACATCAGTGTGGGGGATGGGTTGTGCTGTCCAGGGCTCTGTGCAGAGCACTGGCCACCAGCGGGAGGCGGGGCACCAGGATCTCTCTGTGCTGTGACCAGCATGGGACCCAGGCCGGGGCCACCCTCCCCAGCCTCATCTGCCTCCTGTCACTTACAGTGACAATACCTGCTCTCTTAGCACCTGGCTGGGAACCTTGTCCTGATCCGACTTGGTCACTGATTTGCTGAGTCTCGGCCCCAGCCTCCCCTCTGCTAATCCTGTTTTCTCCTCCATAAATGGCTGTCGAAGACTCTGAGAGGCAAGGACCAGGCAGGGAGCTGCAAGCACCCCCGCCCCCCACCTTCCAGCCCTTTGTCCACCCTTCCTGCACGCACAGCACCCGCGCCCAGACCACTCCCTGAGGGCTCCCCTCAGATGTGTCCCCTGCTGAAGCTCGAAGCTCGTCACTTCACCATTGCCCCACAACCTGTTCTGGGGTGGAGGGCGGGGAAGAGATGTGTGTTGTCTGTAATCATCCAGAAAACTTTCTCAAACCAGACGAATTGGAGTAGCACTGCTTGTACCAGGGAAACACACACATTGAAGTGAACTGTGTGATTTTTTTTTAGGGGGAGATAAACAAGGAGGAATAAACAAGATGTCTATTATTAGCGTTGGCAAAGACAGTACCACTGGGGACTCCTGGCTGAGACCTGGTACTTTGTCATCACCCTTTGCCTACAGCCACCCTGGCAGCTGCCCAGTCGTGTGGGCTTCTCCAGCGGCAGCTCTAGGCTGGGCAGAGGGAGGTGCTCTTTTGGATCCCCAGCCTCTGTAACAGGCGCAGGTCTGCAGGGATGGGACCACTCTAAAAGATGGAGTGCCCACCCCCCCATACATGCGCCGGTAGGACCTAGAGGTCCAAGTGCGCCACCTGCTGGGCACAGGCATGGCAGCCAATAGCGCCTCCTTGGGAGCAAGGCTGGACATCCAGCCTCTGCCTGGAGCAGGAGGTGGGAAGTGGGTGACAGCCTCTGCAGGGGCCAGGGCTCCCTCTGACCCAACAAGCCTGACCCCTGAGGACCTTTGGCTGCCAGAACATGCTTGACCAAGTGGCCCTGACGGGAGTTGCTCTGAAGCACTGTCCCCACTCCTGGACAGGTACCTACCACTCCTCCAGACACCTCTCTTACTGAGTCTCCCAGGCTGACAGGCAAGCAGTGTCAGCCCTACACAGCCGGGAAAACTGGGTCCCCGTGAGTGAGACGCTTGGGGCCATAGGCAGAATGCAAGTCTGAGCTGTGAGGGATGGGTGTGGAGCAGTGTGGCGTTTGGGGGTGTGGGGAACGTGGTGATCTCCAGATGTCTAATCAGCCACTACTTACTCAGCGCTCACTAGGGGCTAGGCTCTATGCTAAGGTGGGCACAGAATTCATAATGTCCTTTTCTCACAATCCTATGGGAAAATCTAGGAATTGGCCTTGATTCGTTTCTCTCACTCCTCAACCCAACCCAGTCATCACTGAGTTCTGTCCACTCTATCTCCACAATATATCTAGAGCCGTTTCTCCCCACTGCTACCCCTGGCAGGTTTTCTGGCTCAAGCCTTCATCTCACAATTAGATTGGGGCTAGGCCTTCCTTCCCAGCAGGCTCGAAGAGCCCCCCAAACTCCCATGCTGCTTACCAGTAATTCTCTGCATGGTGTCCGTCCGGATCACAGTATTTCTATTTGTCTTCTCCACCACTTTGTAGACCACCCCGGTGCAGGGCCTGTGGCAAGTCCCCTGCATCCCTAGTGCCTGGGATGGGGGTTAAGATAAGGCCAGCTGAGGGAATGACCGAATGATCTCAATGACCTCAGTTCATGGATGCACTAGGCAGGCAGTGGGGTCCACCCTCAGTTGTAATGCCCTAGTCTTCCCTCACATGTCTCTCTGACAGTCCCCCTGACCTGGGAAATATTCTCTCCATTGTCCCTTACCCCCAGAGGGACAGACAGACACTGGAAGATCTTTCTGGCATATGGTTAACATTTATTCTGAGAACAGAACAGGTCTCCACTCCCCGACCCCACGGTGGGCCTTGAGGGGAGTGCAGATCGGGTGGTATGGACCAGGGGCCTTGCCCATCTGCGAATGGGGACTTGGAGGCCCCTGTGAGCTGAAGAGTGCATCAGAGGAACAGAGCGATTATTCTCCCCACCTACCATCCAGTCCCAGCCTGGAAGAACTCCTACCTTGCCTGCCCCATTCCCAGGATCTCCTGGGGACCAGGGATCTCTACACAGCCAGGAGCCAGCCTGGCCCACCCAAAGTGGCAGGAGGCAAAGGTAGGGCTGCTGAACAAGTTCTGTTGGTGGTGGTGGGGGTAGGGGTGGCAGGGCCCAGCCCCCAGGCTGAAGCCCACACGTCTGCCAGTTGGTCCTGGTTTGCCATCCCCCATAGCCCAGGGGGACAAAGCTGAGCAAAGGCCACATGTCTGCCCCAGAGGCCTCAAGCTTATCCAGCCTTTGCCCCTCCACCCTGACTCGGGAGTGTTCATTTGAAATAGACACTGAGAAATGATTACATGAGTGTGTACAATGTGCACGCATACAGAGATACATAGAGAAAGGGTATGTTTTTGCCCTTATTCGGCACTTGTTAGTAAGAGTGCTGACAAACAAGAATCATTGGCCCCACTTTGCAGAAAAGGAAATCGAGGCACAGGAGGTTTAAGTGATTTGCTCCTGGTCATGGGCAGAGTCCTGGCCCCAGGCCCAGGTTCTCGGTGAGAAGTCCTGGCTTTATCAGAAGGAGTCTTCTTGTCCTCCTTATCATTCAGTTCCTGGCCCTCACATGGCCCCTCAGGGCCAGGACCTAGGAGTGGAGCCGGCCATGAAGTGAGGAGGCAAAGTCAAAACCCAGCACCTCCAACCAGGACACTGGACCAAACAGGCAGATCTGGAGCCAAAAATTCAGATTCCCAAAGGAATTCTCAGCAAGGCCACAGGAATTCCTGTTCTTGAACCAGCCAAACTTTATCATTTACATCTCTGGTCTGAAGCCTGAGAAGGGCACAGAAGAGACCCTAGGCACATCACAGCACTGATGCTTGCCAAGAACACAGTTGCTGCCAGCTTGCAAATCACCCAAGCACAGAACACTCTCTTCATCCACCTCCAGACCTCCTCTGAGAAGGTACGACTTCTCCTCGTCCCTCCCTAAGCGGAATCAAAATAAAATCAGAGGACCACAAGAACTGGAGCTTAAGCAGAAAAACGGTTTCAGGCTTTCAGTTTTCCTTTAAAACCCCCCGGTTAAAATTGATAGTTTCAAAACAGAAAGAATATAAAACACTGAGACTAAAAGGAACATTTTGGTCCAGGCAGTGAGGAGAGAGCTGTGGCCTCCTTGGTTGCATCTTTGGGGGGAATGTTGGTGAAGGGGCCTTTCTGGTCAGGCGATGAATTTATTTATCTTTTGCCAAGTCCAGTGGGTGACCTGACCCCGGCGGGCCTGACACCACCAGCCGAGAGTCCCTTCTCCCAGAAAAGTCTAGGTCTTGCAAGAAAGGGGGGCCTGGGAGCATATGTCTTCCTCTCGGGTCCCCATGCCCAACCCCAGGCCCCTGGCCACTAAACCAGAAACATTTCTTCTGGCATCAGGACAGTGAAGACAGAAAGACATCCTTCCTCTCCACCACTGCCACCACCTCTCTAGGGGCCTTAAACCAGAGGCTGGGGATGAGATTAGAGCCTAGAATGAGAAGGTAGCTACAGCTCTTCTGGGCATCTGGACATCTGCCTGCGAGGACCTGAGAGCAGAGGCGAGGCTCAGGACAGATGCTGAGTTTTCCAGAGCTGCAGCAGGGGCCCAGCTCCGCCTGGGGCCTCATGGGTATCGTTTATTCACTTGGCAAATCTCTGTTGAATAAATAAATGGATGGGCGGTGGACAGGATTAGAGAATGAACAAATGTCACCTGCACATTTCCCAAATTCCAGCCTGAGCAGGAACCCAGCAAGAACCACGAGTCCTTTCCAGGTAGCTAGAAAACCAGGTATCGGTGACACAGAAAGCAAGGTCTGGGACACTTGGGCAGGCCCAGGACAGGAGGGGCAAGAGTGGGGCTTGGGGATGTGGCAGTTTGTGTGTAAACAAGTGACATCTGATTGGCACTCCGTCGGCAGACAGCAAGGCCTTGGGAAAACGTTTTCAACGGACAGAGTTCCCTAGCAGTGGTGACAACTGGAGTAAAGAGGGCTATATAAATCTCAGGCAAGAAGACTCCTCCATGAGAAAGGAATGCTTTGGGGTCCTCAGGACACTGAGGCCCAGAGAGGGGCAGAGATCTCCCAAGGTCACACAGCAAGTCAGTGGAAAATCTGGGAAAAGGACCCCAGCATCCTGGCTCCCAGGTTAGTCCTTGGCCTGGTTGGGGACATGCAGATGGTGGTGAGAACTGCGTGGGCCAGGTGGGTGGGCAGGTATCAGACAGCCGTGAGGGAGGCACTGCTGAGGATGTGCACAGCAATGGTGCCTGGCAGGTCGCTGGGCTGCCGGCTACTTCGGTCTTGGAGGTGGAGGGTGTGCAGGGCCTGGAGGTCATCCGAGTCAGCCTTCAGGCGTACCTGGCCCAGGAACTCATCCTTCAGGACTCGGTGGTTCCAGACCTGGGAGGAGACAGGGGATCGTGGGGGGCCATCTGCAAGACCAGGAGCATAGGTCTGTGGGGAGTGCTGGCGGAGTGTCAGGGCCTTAAATCCCCTTCCTGCAGTGCCAGCCCGGCTGAGCAAAAGGAGCCCTGCATTGCCTCCGCCCCACCATGAATCTCGGGCTAGGCCTTGACCCTTGGGGAGCTTTAGGCTTTCTCCCCTCTGTCAAAGCTCCCTTCTACGTATGAAGTTAAGTCTGTTACTACTAGCTCTGCAGTTGACTCTGAGTAACTTTGAAAAGTGATAGACCCCCCTGCCCTGGTTTCCCCATTTTTAATATGAGGGTGTCAATGTACCCTAAGGACCCTTCTGGCCTCAACATCTATAGGTCTGTGATTGGAACCAAAGGGACCCCGTGTTAGGAAAACCTACGGTGCCTCCCCTGGGGCACCCGCATGTTTGTTTACAGATGGTTTCTCACCCAGAGAGATGGTGGCCTGGGCCCAGGGGACAGAGGGCTTCATATTAATGAGCTCAGAACTGTCATCCACTGACCACCTTGGCCTGGGAGGGGAAGGGAGCCCAGGCACAGAGCCAGGCTTTCTGACTCTGCTCTCAGGAAGCAGCCGCCCCGCCATACGCCACCAAGTGCAACTTTTCCAGGTGGGCCCAGTGACAGGGGGATTTAAGGAATAACTCACAAGGCTTTGGGGCAAGGTCGGCAGAGATGACCACCCTCCCTGACCAAGGAGAGACTGACTCTACTGGGTCTCAGACACGCCAGCTAAGCCAACTTGCCCACCCCACCAAGGGGACTCTGGGGCACCAGGAGGGGCAGGCAAGAGAATTCCCAAGACCACATCTTGTGATGAACAGATGAACCGGAACCGAGCATTCCTGGGTCTCCATCAAAGGTTCTGCCACCCTGGGTCCAGCTCCTCTGAATGGGGAGATGTCAAGCTGGGGGCGCAAGAGCAGCCCCAGGATAAGCAGACTCACCTGGACAGTGATGGGCTGGCCCGGCTTCTTGCGGTAGAAGATGCCTTTCACGTTGTACTCGGGTGTCGAGGTGCCCTTCTGCACAGCCGAACGGACTTTGTCCCCCTCACACTTGATGATCACATAAGAGTTAGCCCCTAGGGAGATGGAGGAATCAGTGGGGTGAGGGCTGGGCTAGGGCAAGGGCCCTGGATGGGACAGATATCTGGGAGGTGAGATCCCAGGGCAATCAGAACCTAACCCGTTTCCTAACTTCCAGAGACAGGAGGGGACACACTGGCAGTCTCAGGCCTCCAGACCTTCACTCATGCTGCTCCTCCTTCCCAGAGCACCCTTCTGCCCTACTCCACTTCACCAGGTTTCATACCTTAATACCTCCTCAGCCTAGAGGAAGGCCACTCCCTCCAGGAAGCCCTCCCTCAGCTCTCCCAGCTTCCTGGCCCTGTACTTGACTGCCCCACCTCACTGGAATGGCCAAAGAGCAGGAGGAAGAGCCTGTTCCTCTCTATGTGTCCGGCTTCATCCCAGGGCTGGGCCCGAGTGGATGCCAGGGAAGGACTGTTCAGTGAGTGAGAGCAGGAGAGCTCTGGAGGCTAGGTGTCTGTAGCTGGGGAGAGGGAGGAGCCATGGGGAAAACTTCCTGGGGAGGTGGGTGGGGGGACTTTTCCAGGTAAGCGTACCTGTTGAGGAGTCCTTGAGACCAGCAGCCCCCAGGACATGCACCTGGGTCACCTGCTGGGGGTAGCCACACAGGGAGCTCCAGCAGGAGCGGGGGGGCTCATCCAGGCACAGCTCCCTGGTATAGAGCAGAGAAAAGGGAAGTGTTCACGGAGGGAGGCCATGAAGATGGAAGGTGAGGGGGCTTCAAGAGTGGGGAAGGGGAGAGGGGCAGTATTTAGTCCTGACGTTGCTCATCCTGGGCAGACCTCCTGGGCTTCCTGCTGTTCTATCTCCACCCAAGGGTGCCCCATCCTTCCCCAGGGGAAAAGCAATTTACTGAGCACCCACTGAGTGTGCACCAAACCCTCTAGTGGGATGTTACAGAAATATTTCTAATCCTCACAAAGCCCTGGAAGGTAGGTGACAACTATGCCCATTTTATAGATTAGGACGATTGGGCTCAGCAGGGGAAGGGACCTGCCCACACAGCTGGTGGAGCTTAGGCTGGCGAGACCAAGGTCCACTGGTTCCACCATATGAACCGCCTTCTGGTCTGGGATATGGGCAGGCAGTATAGAATCTGGGCTGCCCGCCCACATGGGAAGGCTGTGTGGGGCCCACGGGGTCGGCACCCCAGCAGGGATGGGACGGTTTGAGCAGCCCCCGTCGCCCAGCTCTACTGCTGGTTGCAAGACCCTGGGAAACATCCCCAACCTCAACCCTCAGTTCTGATCCATAAAATGGAGGGGACGAGCCTCCCAGTCAGGGTTCGGGAAGAGCAAATAAGATGAGTGAAAGCGTCTTGGTAAACTGTGAAGTGCTGTGCACATATGAACTATTCCTTTACGTGGTCAAGAGGGGCTGGAACAAGAGAACAGGGGAAGGGAGAGAGAGGAGATGGGTGCTGGCGTCAGCCTGGGGAGGCTGGAGCCTGGGCTCCACGCCTGGGGCAGACGCTGTGCATCTCTGGGCCTCAGGTGCCAGGCCAGCCTGGTGCGGACCTCGGCCCACCCACTCTGGCCCTGAGCCAGCCCCCGCGCACCGGCAGTTGGAGGGCACGTCGGTGAAGACTCGGAGCAGGAACTGGCCAGTGTGGCCTGGCTCGAAGGTGGTAGGGATGATGACGTAGCGGCCCTCGGGCTGGTCTGTACGCAGGAAGACGCTGCGTGAGTTGATGTAGATGGAGCTGGCAGCCCTGTGTTGCAGGCGGTGCATGCGGTACTGGCGGTTCTCCTCCACCTGCAGGCAGCGGAAGGGCTGGTCACACGGAGCCTCCCCACCTCCACCTCCCACCCCACCCATATCCCACATCTCTCCCTCACTGCCGTGAAGAGTGATGAGACCCACTTACATGAAACACCCCAAACAGGCAAAAGTAGATGAGTAGATGAGGTGCCTGGGACAAAGTGATAATGCCTAAAGGGTGTGGGGTTTCTTTTTGGGGGTGATGAAAATGTTCTCAAATTGATTGTAGTGACAGTTGCACAACTCTACGAATACACTAAAAGTCACTGTACACTTTAAATGAGTGAATCGTATGTGAATTATATCTCAATAAAGCTAGTTAAGGGGAGGGCATAGGAATCCCCCGATGACAATATCCATGAGGTTTCTGATTATTGCAACAGAACCAAGTATCACTATCTGCCCAGGTCACAGCATGTATCCATGAAATGACATCGCCACCTGGCAGGGCATGCTAGACAATTCCTGGAATGAGTGCCATAATAAGCTGTAGTTCTATCAGTGAAGGTCATGACACGTCAAAGTTTCGACACATCAGCACACAATGAGTATACCAACACAATAATATGAACAAACAACTGTCGTGACATGACCGAATATGTTGAACGCCAGGGACTCGAGCCAGACCGTGTGCCTGGCATATCTGTGTGATTTCATTAGGTTCTTGATGTCTAGTACGGTGTCCCGCTATGCTGAGTGCCATCACGTACACATGGAAGGTCTTGGGTCCCAGGCAAGGGGAAGCGGCCAGTGGCTCTACCCAGGATGCCTCCTCCCTGTGCCCAGCAAGTCGTCCAACTCAGGGGAACTCAGAGCCCTGACAAAGGGAGCAGCTGGGGGCTCCCAGAGCCTGGTCTCACCCACCAGCAATCCTTCCCTTCCCCACCCACCAAACAGTCCAGGCCCGTGGGTCTGGGGCAGGAAGAAATCAGTCTGAATGCTCCCATAGGAGCCAAGCCCTCTGTGTGTATGGCAAATATGGCCCATGACACAGTATGTCCATGGCGTCAGTGAATGTGGCCGGGGTGGCAGGGGTGATGTCAGTGACTTTTCATTCAGGTACAGGCAGCTCAAACTCCAGCTCCCTTGCTCTCCTCACCCAGTGTGGACCTCACCTTGTAGATGTCGAAACCAATTGCCAGATTTTCGCCCTTGCCGTCCCGGCGAGTGGACTGTTTCGGCCGCTGCTGGATGCAGATCAGCACTTCATCTTCTGGCTTCTTGACATCAAAGATGTACTGCAGGTATGGCCAAGGAAGAGAGACATCGCAGTGAGAGCATGCTGAAGGTGGGCTCACTGGCTCCTAGAAGCTCGGCCCAGAGCCAGGCCTCAGCTTAGCTGTGTGAGCTTGGGCAAGTCGTATTACCTCTCTGAGCCTCAGTCCCTTGTCTGCAAAACGGGCCTACAATGCCTCCCTGCATGAGGGGGTGGGAGGACTTGATGAGACCATGGATGCTCAGCTCGGAGCCTACATGCAGTCAGTGCTCAATGAAGGCACACCAAGTGTGAGGACCAAGCAGTTGGCAGGGTCACGACCAAGCAGGCTTCAGGGAAGAGGGCCCTGTGAGGGAGCCAGCCTGGCTGAGCTCCCCTGGAAGCATTATGTTTGTGGAAACAAGGTGTTTGAGGCCCTAGCTCAGTCTCTAAGTGTTTCCTATAACTCTGGACAAGACACCCAGTCCTCAGAGTGAAGCAAGACACCTGCTTCTCAGTTTCACCATCTGTGGGTCAGATTGTGAGGTTGGGGGCTATATGACCACCAAGACGTGCCATCCAACTCCTGCTGTAGGGACAGTGTGCTATGGTGCACAGAGGGACAGGGGTGTACCCGAGGTCATGCAAGAGTCTGTGGCAGGACAGAGGTGAGGCGCTCCGCAGAACACTCACCTGTGGATTCTGGAAGAAGGTGTCCTTGTGATTGATGCAGCCCCCACTGCGGTTCTGCCATGGGTCCTCGTGCTGCGTCCAGGCCCCATGCAGTCGGGCCTCCTCCCATGTCTTGTGGACACTCAGGTAAGATGTATTGATCAGGCGGCACTTGATGATGTCGGTAAAGTATCGGCACAGGTCCTCGAAGGTCATCCTGGGCGTAGCAAGGGGCTGAGCCGGGCAGGTCCCTAGGGCTGGCCCACCACTCCCTTGCCCGCATGCTCTGAACCTTGGCTCACACATTAGCAAGCGTGGACATGCTGTCACGTGGACATTTCACCTCTCTTTTGCCCTGTTTCCTAATTTGTAAGTTGGGAATGAATCTATAAACAGCTGCCTATCACACAGAGTTGAGAATTAACTAATGCAATAAAAGTCATGTGATATAACTTTTGGCAGACAGAAGCATTGGCAAAGGCTGGCTGTTACAATTATTAATAGTATGAAGAACTAGTTTTTACAGCCCTCTACAGTTTATAAAGCATGTTTCTATCCATTATCTTCCATGGTTGTTGTGAGGCCTGAATAAACTGGTGGCAAGAACTCCTTCGTTAGGTGTGCTGTAGTGGCCAGGATATTGCTATGGTCACTGAGTGCTATGTACACCTCCAGGGCCTGAGTTGGGGAGGGGAAAGTGCCCATCTCCCTTCAATTGTGCACATGTATGAGAACATGCACAGGTATGCACCAAATGTGAACATACATGAGAAAGGCCTTAGGAAGAAGCCCTTTCCACTGATGAGAGGTTTCTATTGCTATATTCAAATGAGCCCTTAGACAGATTGGGCACAGTACATCTCATCCACAGGAGCCCAGACTAGAGGACCTGGGAGCCTCCTACAGGGACTCCCCTGACCCCTGCAGGAGGGGCCCTTACTGGGGTGCCAAGGTCACTGCCATCTACCTCAGGGTCTGCCTGGGGCTCTCACAGCATCTACCACACAGGGTGCTCAGTATCCCTCCAGGAAGTAGCTGAGTCTCCCAATCAAACTTTTTACACCGAGCCTGACACACAGTTGGGACTAATGCAGGCTGAATGAATGCAGGAATGAGTGAATGCAGGAATCACTGGGCTTTTTAAGTGAGGTTGCTGCCACCTCAGCCCAGCCCACACAGTGTGCTCTCTGGCCTCTGCGCTGGGTCTCTCTCTCTGCCTATTAAGGGATCCTCTACACCTCGAGTCTCAGCTTAGGAGGCAGCACCCCTGTGAGACCTCTCCTCTACCTGCTCTGGGCAATCAGGCTACCAGCATGCCCCCGTGTTCCAGTTGATCTCCTACCTGCGGGCATCCTGGCCTAGTTGCCGAGGGCTCGGCCTGGGTGTTAGAGTAGCCTAGGGTCCCCAAGGTGGGCAGAGGGGACTGTGGAAATGAAAAGGGTGCCCAACTCATCTTACAGAGGAGAAAACCGGCTCAGAGAGACAGCATGACGTGTCCAAAGCCACACAGCAAGTTGATGGCAAGGCATTTGCTAGAGCCCTTGGTTGCTGCCTCCCCCTTGGTGCTTCCTGCCCAGCACACAAAGGTCCTCCTTCAGCCCTGGACACCCGCCTGGGGCAAGAGCACACTCACCAGAACTCGCCATCATCCTGCACGGTCACGCCCATCTTCTCCCGCTCGCTCTTGCTCACCTTCTGCCATTCCTCTGAGCTGGGATGTGAGCACAGGGGAGGGGAGAGGTGAATAAGTGGAGGGACCCCACCAGGGCCTCCCTGGCGAGGGCAAGGAGGAGGAGGGATGCTCCGCATCAGGCCTTCCTCAATGTGGGTGTGATTAGGGGCATCCGTGTCATGTCCATCCCCTCTCTCAGACTTCACTATCTGCCCACTCCCACAGGGAACTGTGGGCTGCCACCATGCCAGGGCCCAGAGGTCTGGGAGCAAAGCTGCAGGCTGGGGGACGAGAGGGACAAGACCCTCAGTGGAGGGACTCCACTACTGGGGGCCCGGTCTCTGCTCACCAAGCATGGAGCAGTCACCTCTGATGGCCTCCCTACCTGCTTTCCTTCCCTCTCACTGGCCAAACCAGTCTTTATGTCCCCAACAGGAATCGGCTTGTCCCCACCTCCAGGCTTTTGCCCAATGCTGAATCCATCCCCCACGCTCCCACTCCTCCTAATGTTAGGTCTCCTCCTAATGTCATCCTCCCCCGACCCCAAATCCTTCAAAACCCAGCCGCGGTGCCACCTCCTCCACAAAGCGCATCCCCGTCCTTGCCCAAGCTGTCATAACGGGCCCCACCCCGCCCCCGCCCGCCCAGCGCTGGGGCTGGTCGGCCCCGCCCGCGCTCCCGTCCTGGGACTCACGTGTCGCTCCAGGGCCCGTTCCACTCCCGCTCGCCCCAGGGGTTGCGCAGGCGGATCATGTCCAACTTCTCCGACTTGAAGAAGGCCAGCAGGCCGTGGCCCAGGCGCACCTTGCGTACGTCGGTGATGGCGTATGCGTGGCCTTTCACCAGGCCACACGCCAGGCGGGCCTCCATGTCTGCCGCTGTCACAGCCTGTGGGAGGACACCGCTGTTCAGAGACACTGAGCTGGGTCAGGCTCCAGGGGAAACCAGAGGGCGTGAGGGGTGGCTACACTCACTGCCCCTTACAGGACGGGGAGTGAGTGGCAGCTCAGCACAAAAGGGAGACCTGTTCCTCTACGGTTAGGGACTGAGCTAGCCATGACAGCCCTTTACACAGCCTCGGGGAGCAGCAGTGTGAAATAAAGGAAGGGATGTGCATTGGGGTGGGCACAGGGGTGCGTTAGAGTGGACAGCATTGGCTCAATTTTGCAAGGTGGGTGCTTGAAAGCAACCATGGTGGGAGTATTTACACTACAGAAATAAGTGAATGCTCCAGATCGAGGCTTTTTATTTTCCCAGACAGCCAGCTTATCAATACACCACTGGGTTAGCCAGACTCTGCCTTCACTGAGCCACAGCTTTCCCACTCAAAACATGAGCAGTCAATGAAATAAGACTCGAAGTGCTCAGGCCTGTGCCAGCAGGCAGTAGGGACTCTCTCCTCTCTAGTCACCTCATTCCTTGTGATGCCTCAAACCTTGACTGAGGGATCTTCAGATGCATAGGCACCCATCACTCCAATATGAGAGGGCCAGTAAAGGGAGAGGTTGGTGAAACAGTACAGGCAAGGCATTTGATACTGTAGGGGGCTAGGACGCCCCCGTCCTGTAGGGGGCTTGTGACTTGTGCTGTCCAGGACTTGGAAGGGGCTTGTACCTTCTAAATCCTTCTCTCCTCCCCCCACCCCCATGAGGTTGAGAGTCTGGATTTATGAGCCAGCCTGGGCAGGGGCTCTGCCTGCAATGACACAGCCACCTCCATCCCTATTAGGGCTGATGAAGGGGAGGGGCTGCCTCTGGGGTCTGGCTCTGTGCTCTCACCTTGATGGAGGCACTGATGAGGCCTCCCCGGCTGTGCACTTTCAACACCCGCTCAAAGAGCTGGTTCCTCTTGCCTTCGTCATTGGCAAAGTCACCCTCTGTCAAGTCGATGGGCTCGGAAACGCCACCTGTGAAGTCCACCAGCGCATCCGCCGTGTTGCCTCCATCCAGGGCCTGGTAACAGCCCGCCAGCCTGGGGAGCAACATGAAAAGAGTTCCCAGCTCATGCTACCCTGCTGGTCTAAATCCTTCATATTATAGGAGAGGTTTTTGAGACTCAGAGAGGTCAAGCAAACTGCTAAGGTCACACAGCAGACCATAGCAGAGCCAACACTAGAACTCAGGTCTCCGACTCCCAGGCCAACGTTTGTCCCACTGAACAGTACCATTTTATTACTCAAATTCCCCTTAGCCTTAGCAGCCTCATCTGCAAAAGTTAGCTGTTCAGAAATCTAGCAATTCTTTTCAAGAGCATTAAAAGCTCATACGTCTTTTGACAAACCAATTCTGGATGAATGACATTATTTGTGACATTAACAATGTAAAACGAGAAGTCACCTAAATGTCTAATGGGGAATTGGTTTTAAAAACTAATGCTGCACCTCTGCTCTGGAACATTCAGCAGCCACTGAACAAAGAAAGCACTGTGACAGAATTCCTACAGCCAGGACAATGTTAGCGCTTGCTTGTTACCTTTGAAAAAGTAATACAGCTGGGTTCCAATTATGTTTAAAATGTATACAACAATCCATTTAAAAATATAGCATCTACTATATGCAACATATCAGGTGCTAGGGACACTGCTGTGGCTCCTTATTTAAATGTTAGGAAAAAAATTGGGGTTGTAAAGGCAGAGCACTGAATGTGAATGTGAGAAGCAGAATGAGATATATAACACTAAGACTATGGCATATTTATGTAGACTGAAAATATATGTCCACAAAACAGCAACGCAGGTTTTGCAAGGTAACCTACAAACAAAAAGATGCATCAAAGATATTAAAAGAGCTGCCACTTGTGCGGGAGGGTGTGGAGAGAGCAAATGGAGACACCAAGTGGGTGAAGATGGGGCCTTGAGGGGACAGTGGCCATGGATGGTGTTCCTGAACAGAAGAGGAGGCCCATCTCAGGTGACCCAAAACAGGGAAGGGGAGAGGAGGCGGCTGGAAGAATATGCAGGCATAAAGAAGACTTTGTTATCTTCTGCATGATTTTCTTATATTTTCTGGATTTGCCATAACAGACATGAATCCATTTTACAATTTGAAAAGTAAATAAATAAAAAAACAAGCAAACATAAATGGTGCAGCTACTGTGCAAAACAGTTTGATGGGTACTCAAAAATGTAAACATAGAACCATATGGCCCAACAACTCACTCCTGGTATGTATGTCCCAAAGAACTGAAAGCAGAGACTCAACTAGATACTTGTACACATTGTTCACAGGGGCATTGTTTATAATAGCTGACAGGTGGAAATCACCCAAGTGTCCATCGACAGATGAATGGATAAGCAAAATGTGGCGTATACGTTCAGTGGAACACTATTCAGTCACAAAGAGTAATGAAGTTTTTATACATGCTACAACATGGCTGGAACTTAAGTGACATAAGCCAGATATTGTATGGACAAGTACTGTATGATTCCACTTATATGAGCTACTTGGAATAGGCAAATTCATAGAGACAAAAGGCAAAACGGAGGTTCCCAGGGGCTGGTAGAAGAGAGAAAGGGGCGAGTACTACCCAGTGGGTACAGAGTTTAACTTGTGGGTGATGAAAAGCATTGGGTGTAGATAGTGGCGATGGGTACACAGCATTGTGAATGTCATTAATGCCACTGAATCGTAGATGTACACATGGTTAGGCGATAAATATTACGTTACAAAAACAAAAAACACTAGCAAGTCCACTGGGCGGCTCTCCCAGAGAGAGGCCAGCATGGAGGACCACGGAGACTGAGTGACCACCAGGGGGCGAGTTTTGCTTTCTTAGGATTAAAAATGGAACCTCCCACTCTTCAAGGAGGCAGCTGAGCAGTCTCCCCTGCAGACGCAGAGATGCAAATCTTTATGATAACCCTGACCGGCAAGACCATCACACTCGAGGTCGAGCCCAGTGATGCCACTGAGAATGGCAAAGCTAAAATCCAAGATGAGGAGGGCATCCTACCTGACCAGTAGCGTCTGATTTTTGCGGGCAAACAGCTGGAGGATGGCCACACTCTCCGACTACAATATCCAGAAAGAGTCCACCTGCACTTGGTGCTTGGTCTGGGGGCGGCATCATTGAGCTCTCCCTCCGCCAGCTCGCCCAGAAGTATAGCTGCGACGAGATGATCTGCCACGAGTGTACGCCCACCTGCATCCCCGTGCTGTCAACTACCGCAAGAAGTGTGGCCATGCCAACAACCTACACCCCGAGAAGGTCAAATAAGGCCCCTCTTCCACCCGCCCGGTGGCTATCGGCCCAAACCCCTTGGCCCTGGGGCCTCAATAAAATTTCCCTTTTATTGACTGGGGGGAAAAATGAAACTTGCCAACATTGTGTTTTCTTGGATTTATTTTTGGTATTGGGAGTTTTTGTTTTTCCTTTTCCTTTGTCATTGTCCAAATGGAGACTGACAAATGGGCCAGAGAGGAAAAAAACCAGTCTCACGCAAAGCTGGCTGCTGGTCTCTGACCCTCTGGCCCTCTTGCCCCAGGCCTCTCCTATCCTGCAGGGGCCTGGGCAGGTCATTCTGCCTCAACCCCCTCCACAGCTCAGCAAATCTTTGCTTGTGCCTGTGCTGGTGATCTAGGAGGAGGTGGTGAGCAGACAATGGACGGATGGACAGTCAGTCAGATGGATGAGTGGATGAGGGGGAAGCCTAGCAAGCAGACAAGGCTCTACAACCAGCCCAGCCTCAGAGATACCACGTCCCCAACAAGGCCTCCATGGAGGGCTCAGCAGCTTGGATCTTTGGGAAAGAAGCACCGACCTGAATGTGAGTGCTAGCTCTGCTCACGGCTACCTGCAGGAAGCCTTCCTGGTATAATCTTCTCAGGTATAAGCGAGAGTAACTATTCCTCCCTATGTGGTTGGTTGTGGGAACTTGACAACTAGGTATCCAGAGGACCTTCAGTCCAAGCCTCCACCCCACCCAGAGTAGGCTCAGTTGGCCATGCCCTGGGTGCCTGGGCTCTGAGCATGCTGTATGACTTTGTACCAGCCTCTGACCTCTCTGTGCTTGGAGCTCTGCTACAGGAACACCCATGTAGAGCCCATCAGCGGTGCTGCCCCAGCCTGGCCATCCACCTGCTTGCCCACTGCCGGCACCTACTTAGCATAGGCCTTCTCCACCAGGGCACACCAGAACTCATTTCGGGAATTGGAGTGGCAGTAGATGAGCTGGTTGTTGACGGTGGGCAGCCGGTCGTCGATGACCACATCTATCCACTCCCCAAAGCGCCAGAAGTGGAAGTGGAAGATGCCCGCATAGGCATCAGGCTTCTCAGGGTCCCACTCCTGCTCCTTCCAGTCTGGGATGACCTGGATGAGGGGAATAGGATGAGGACACATTGAGGGTCACATCTGGCTTCCTGAAGAAATGGGGTGCATGCCTCCAGAGAATCAAAATGGAAAGGAATACCAGGTTCAAGTCCTACCTCTGCCATGAACCAATTTGACACTTGGGTGAATCCTCATCTCTGAGCCTCAGTTTCCCTATCTCTGCAGTGGTTGGAGGCTTCCTAAGGTTCCTTCCGGCTCTGTCATTCTGATTCTATGAGCTTCCCCCTCCCTTCCTTGTGCCTCCATCTGCATCCTCCTTGTTCGGAAATATATCATACCCACCAGTTCCCGCCTGGCGAATGGTGCCACCATCCCCACCCTTCCTCATCCGGCCAGAGCCAGAACTTGGCTACCACGCTGGCCTCCTCCCCTTTCCCTCTCTTCATCCAACGAGGCCCATCTGAGATCCTACATTCTGCTAAAATCCATCTCCTCCTCTCCATCCCCCTGCATCCTTAGCCCCATCCCCCATCTTCTTGCCCTGGGTCCCTATAACAGCATCGGCAGCCACATCTGCCCCACCTCATACAGCAGCAGAATTACCTTTCTGATTATGTCACTTCCTTGGAAATAAGGTCCAAACACTTAAGGTGCTCTGCCCCCACCACCACTTCCTAGATTTGTTTCTCTAACCACTCCCCAGCCAACTCTCCATCCTTGCTTCAGGCTCTTTCTCTGGCCAGAGCTCTACACTTGCTCTTCCTCCAGCTAATTCTCACTGTCCTTTAAGGTCTGCCCTCCTCCTCCAGGAAGCCCTCCTTGACTCTTCAAACCAGGCCAGGACCCCCGTCCACCAGTCTCATGGCCTCTGAGACACTTACTCCAATTACAGTTAAACAAGTGTGTGACCTTGTGTACAATTCTGATATCATGCGACTGTCAGTTCCCTGAGAGCAGGGACACATTCGTCTTGGTCACTGCTATCCCCCAGTACCTAGCCCAGAGAGGTGGCTTAATAAACATGTGTTAACTGAATGAGTAAATTCATAGGCATTGACTGGGCCTCTTAATAATATTATTTATGGAGTATCTTGGAAATGTCACATGCCAAGCCTGTGACTGCCATGGGTTATCTCAGTTTAATTCACACTATAACCCCATGAGTAGATACTATTATCTATCTCTACGGATGAGAAAATTGAGGCTCAGGGAGAGCAAGTAACTTGTTCAGGATCACATAGCTGAAAATATGCACATTCTTTATCAGTGTGGACCACTCTACGCCTGGCCCCATGTTGGCACTGAGGACCCAGATGAATCAGACTTAGTCTCTGCCCTTGTGAGGCTCCCCGTAGGGTGGGAGAGGCAGGCGTGCCAGCAAATGCTGGGGCCGACATGAGGTGCATGTGGGGCTGTGGAGAGAAAGGAATGGTGGGCCCGACCCTAGAGGGCCAGCAGCAGCTTCTGAGCAGGTGTCCTGAGACCTTGCTCCTTGTGTATCCCCCAAGTGGATAAAGACAGTGTGTATCCCCCAAGTGGATAAAGACAAATAGAGGCAATCTAGGCAGCAGGAGGTGGGGAAAGAAAAGGACCAGAGGGGCCAAGCCTACCAGGACATGGGTGGTGGGGTGGGGGTGGGGGCGCATACAGGCACCCAAGCTAAGTAGCCAGAGATGCACCAGGAAGCTGTAAATCCCAGGGCCTGGGCCAGCCTGAGCACAGAGACTTCAGCCAAAAGTCATTCCCCATCGCCCACACTCATTAAAAATGCTTTTGTTTATACTCCTTGGACCGTCGACAGGGATGCTGGCAAAGAGAAATGTTCCCTAGTGGGACATTCAAGACCAAGAAAATGAAAATGCTAAGCACAGCGAGAGACGCCACAGCCACTGAAAGAGCCTGTTAGGTGCCAGGCTCAAGGCCGGCTGTTTACTCCATCGCCCTGACCCTCACTGTTACCTTTTGGGGCGATATTACAGAAGTCGCAGCTGAGGCTGCCCATGGGCACAGGTGAGGAAGGCAGGAGTCACACTCAGGGCTTCCAAGCCTGGAGCAATGTCTAGAACCCAGCAAGGGCTCGATCCTGTCCGGTCTCTTTCTCCCTGCACCCCTATCTCCCTTTCCAGTCAACCCCACGTACTTTCTAAGTCAAAACTCCCAGACTGGCCTCTGCCCTGAACCCCAGCAGGCTTTCCTGCTTTGCTCTCAGGACAGAAAGTTGTGTCAAAAATAGGGCACATTTTTGTGGGGTAGGGGCATCATCCCCACTGCACATACGGGAATCCTGAGGTCCAGAGAGGAGCAAGCAGCTGCCCAAGGGCAGAGTGATGGGGAGTCCGAAGCTGAGAACACTGACCTGGCCACTACATTCTCCTCTGCTCCTACAGGCTCTAAAAGCTCTGGACTGTGTGTGGGGAGTTGGGGTGGAGGGAGGACAGGAGAAGGAGAAGGAGGCAGAGGAGCCCCCACAGGGCGCTGGGAGGGCCTGCTGGGGCCATGGGAGGATCATTAGCCTAACCCAGGGCTTGGCTCTGAGCCCTCTGTGGCTCAAGAAGCAGCTAATGAGGCCCCAGGCCCTGGAGATCCAGTCAGGGATCCCCACGAGTCTCACCTTCCCCTCCTGCATCACAGCCATTGGACCCAGCAGGAGGTGGGACCCAGGCCAACCTTTTTACCCTTCGGTGGTCCCTCTGCTGTCGGCCGAGGTACCAAGTAAGAGGGATAAGACTGTCCAGGGAAGAGAGCTCCACGGGCACACAAACTCAGCTTCCTTCCACACACCACATTTAGTCACACTGGAAATCGAGGAAGCAACCAAAGTCCCTGGGGCACATTAAAGGATCGAGGACCAACCTGAAAAGGCTCCCAATGGCCAAAGACAGGCCAATCTGAGCAGCAATAAGGATAACAACTTCTGTGGATGGAAACACATCAAATACGTTCACATCCATGAGATCATGATGATACACAATTAGTCACTATTAGAAGATGGCAAGGAATCAACTCATTTTTTTTTTTTAAGGAAAATTAATGGAAAGAATGGAAGATTTACTCTGCCTTTTCTATAGAAACTGTACCAGAGGTTAACTAATAGCAGATGAAGAGAGGTTTGTATCTGGAGATGAATTCCAGCTAAGAAGTGAGACTCCCACATTTTAGAACCACTGACAAGTAATGAATTTATACAATTATGGCTTCTAACATCACAAAAAAGAGATATGACCAGACATTATGTACCTCCTGAAGCAGTCGTGCCAAATAAAATTTGTGCCTGAGCTTTATCAAGCCTCTAGAGCTAAGTCCTAGCTTACAGAAAATGCAGGGCACAGAGAACATGTTAAATGACATCATGAAAACAAAGCCAGCAAAATCCAGATACAGTAGCCACCCCCCACCTTATCCATAGGGAATACATTCCAAGACCCCCAATGGATGCCTGAACCCTATATATACTATGTTTTTTTCCCTATACATACATATCTATGATAAAGTTTAACTTATAAATTAGGCACAGTAAGAGACAAGCACTGCAATACCATGACAATCGTTGGTCTGATAACTGAAATGGCCATGAAGCGAGTAACAGACGGGTGCCTTATACAGTGTGGGTACACTGGACAAAGGGATGATTCACATCCAGGTGGGATGGAGTAGGACAGCACAAGATTTCATCACACTACTCAGAACAGCTCATAATTTAAAACTTACGAATTGCTTATTTCTGGAATTGTCCATTTAATATTTCGGGGCCACAGCTGACCATAGAAAGTGAAACTGCAGATAAGGTGGGGGGTGGGGGGACTACCGCAGTTGGAAATTGCACAAGACAGCCACTTTCTTCAGCAAATAAATTGCAAAGAAAAAATTAAAAGGTGAAATGGAACCAACTGATTGCAATTATGGACCTTTGCTTGGATCTCATTCAAACAAACAAACTATAAAATGCACACAGTTTGTGGCACAAATTGGAAACTAGAACATTCACTGGGTATTTCATGATATTAAGGAATTATTGGAAAATTATTTTAGTTGTGTTATGGTATTATGGTTAGGATTTTTCATTTCGTTTTGTTTTGAACGAGTCCTTATCATTCAGAAATGCATCCAGAAATATTTCCGAATGAATGCTACACTGCCTGGAGGAAAGGGAGGAAATGAGATTGTTGAAGCAGAGGGATGGGCACAGGCAGCTCATTAGGCCGTCTCTCTTCTCCCATTGTCTACAGTTGAAATGCATCACTAGCGACACTGGCTCCTTGATCCAACACTCAAAGCCCTGTGAGCCAGCTCTGCAAACTCTCAGCCTCACTCATCCCTGAACACTGCCTCTCTCAGGACCCACAGGAATCTACACTCTGTGATGCTCTAGGCCATCTCTTCAGGCACCCAATCCACACAGTTCCTCATCCCTCAGGGGGCAGCTGAGCAGCAGCTTGCAGGGGCTGCCTGACCCCACACTCCCCTTAGGCACCATTGGGCAGCTCCTCCTCCTGGCTCCTGGAGAGCAGGGCTGTGTCTCACTCACACCCAGATCCCCAGCACCCAGCACAGGGCCAGGCCCAGCTCCACAGCTGGTTTTCTAGAAGGATAACCCCCAAGCACTGGCCACGAGGCCTGGCTGACCGGTAACCTTGTACATACCACTGGACATCACATTACCAACTGTGGTGCATGGCAGGGACTTAAGTTTTGACTAAACCACCTAAGTGTTGGTGTCTGTATCTGCCTACCGTACCTCTAGGACTGTTGTGAGAACTAAGGTGGATCATGGCCTTGGAAATACTGCATAACCTGTGGAGGGCTGTGCACACGTGACGGGTCATCCCTATTGGTGTACAAAGTGTGTGGTGCACTCACACAAAAATCACAAACCTTGGGGCTGGAAGGGAGCTGAAGTGACCTTCAACCTCCCTGCCAAGAGGAGAAAGAAAACCCTCAACGACAGCCCCCCGTGCAGGTGGGAAGAGCTAGACCTGAGGGGTCGAGGCTCTTACTTGGGCTGAGCAGGCAGGAGGTAAGGACTGTGTGGGATTTGGAGCCCCACCTCACCCCACTCCTAGGGACCCTGTTAACCGACACTCACTGCAGAACCACCCAGAAACCTCCGGATCCCATTAATGGGCTCACCACAGCACCCCATGGCACCCCTAGCACCTGGAGTGCTCCTGGGATTTTCCCTGGGGGACTCCAGCCCAGATCCAAGTGGTTGGGCTCAGATCCTGCTGGGGCAGGCCTGACCGGACTCTGCCAAGGTGCGTGAGAGACAGGAGAGACAGGGAGGGTCGGAGCCCATGGAGGGCAGCACTGCTCAGGACCCGAGTGCCCGAGTGCATTTGAGTGAATGTCTGTGTGTGAGATCATGTGTGTATGCGTGTGTGTGCGTGTGTGTGTGCGCGCCTGGCATAACAAGTGAGCTTTTCACAGATTTCTGCCTGGGACCTTAGAGGGCCAGCCTGGAACATTTCTGATCAAGGCCAGCAGGGCTGTGGGAAGGCGACAGGGTTTCCTATGTCACCCAAGTTGGGTGAGGTGAGCCACAAGGCCTCTGTGAGCCCTCAAAGCTAGAAGGTCCCTGGTTCTGAGCATCTGAAGTTCCTCAGTTCTCAGCTTCTGATTCCAAGAGTCTCAAATTCCTGAGTTTCAGATGCCACGACTGGAAGAGGCCAGGAACATAGGGTGCCACTCCCTGCCCCTAAGGAGAGCAGAGCCCCTGGCTCACCACCTGGAGAGCAGGACACTGATGCACCTGCAGCGGGGCCCGGGGAGTCCTGTGCACAGGGCAAGGAATGAGCACAGCCGGATGCTCAGCCCTAGGCGGGAACCCCAGTCCTGGGGCAGAGCCCCATCCGCTGGGCTCCCCAGCTATACTGTGAGGGTTATAGGTCCTCTCAACTGGGTCTTCTGGGCCTAGTGGTGAGGAGAACCTACTGCCCGTGACCACTCCCTCCATCCACAGAACCAGGCCTGGCCCCACTTGTCACCGGGCTGCTGAGTTGTCTCAGGCAACTCACTTCACCTCTCTGAACCCTGCACTCCTCCTCAGTAAATAGGTTCTCCTAATACCCTCTTCTCAGAATAATCATGAAAAGTGAGACCATGTATCTGCAGGGATGAGGAGAGTAAGGGTGAGCAAACTGAGACAGGGTGCCCGTGTGCCAGCTCGTGAAGCTTGGTGCCTCACTAATATCGGCTCAGCTAATCTTCACAACGCCCCTGCAGGGGAGGCACCATTATTACCCCACCGACAGATGCCCAGGATCACACAAGTGGTCAGTAGGTGGCAGAGCAGGGCGAGGTCCCTCACCACTCCACACACTGCCTCAGTGGGAGGCAGATGTTCAGGAAACGGCAGGTCTGTTCGCTCTATGGTTTCTCGTGGTTTCCAAGGAAAATGGGTAATTTCCCAGACCCTGCACTGATGGCTGGTTCTCCCGACCCAGTCTTGGGAGTGGAATCAGACCTGTACTCCTGTCTGGGGCTGGGAGGGCCGGTGCCTCCGTCTCCGTTTCCCCTACCCTCCCAGAGGCGTCTTCAGGAGTGGACGGAGGCCGCAGCTAGAAGGGCAAGTCTTGGGGAACAAGGTAGCAGCAGCTGCTCTGGGAGGGCTCTAGGCTGGAGGACGGGGAGGTGAGATCTGGCTGCGGGAGCATTTCGAAGCAGAGGTTGTTCCCAAGCAAAACCCTGTGTGGCCTCTGAAGCCGAGTCTGACCTGAGTTTCTGGGAAGAAACTGGCCTCTCCTGGGCCTGGGCCTGTAGGTGGAGTGGGGGCTTCGTCCCTGCCCATCCCAGGGGACCTGTGTCATGGGGCCAAAGGTCTGTGGACCTAGATCCTGGTCCACACACACCCTCTCTGGCCCTTCCACACTCTGTGACTTTGGCCAGGCCACCTCCTCCTCTGGGCCTCTGTCATCTCTGTCCAAAAACTGAGTGAACTAGAGAAAGATGACAAGGGGACAGAGCTTGAAGGGTCAAGTGGAGCACAAGGTGACATGGCAGTATCTGTCTTTTCTAGTCAGCAGGACAGGGCTGGAAAGGACTCACAGAACCAGGCTGCTCCCTCTAGAGAGTCTGGGGCTGGGAGAGGGTCAGGGGCTGCCTGAGGACAGACAGCAAATTGGTGACCCAAGCCAGATGAAACCTGAGCACAGGCCTGACCCCCCAAACCCCAACCTTGGCTACTTCTCTGTCCCATCTTCCCCCGGCCCAGCCACCCTGCAAGGTTGAGCACGGCTTGGTGTGTCCCCACCCATCTCCTTTGGGTCCGACAGGCAGAGGACCAGATGGAGCCTTCCCCTGGCCTCAGCATGACTCTCTCCATGCCCCCTACAGAGGCTGGTCTGGGGGCCACTGGAGAAAAACCTGTCTGGGTGTCGGTTCTTGGCTGGGTGTCAAGAGACCTGGTTCTGAACTCCAAACTGGTGTCTGACCTTGGGCCACTCACCTGACTGCTCTGGGCCTCATCCCCGAAAGCGGCAGGAGGAGGGGTTGGGAGTGTGGGAGAACCCCCGAAGAGGTGCTCAGGGCTGTGAGGGGGTGGGGCTAAGTCAGAGCCCCTGAAAGCACAGGGGCGGGTCACGGAGAGAGACGACACACCACTCCAGGCAGGGGCGCACAGGCTTTATTGGGGCGACACAGAGAGCCCAGCAGAGGCACTCACACGCACGCACAGGGCGAATGTGGTGGGGCAGGGTGGGGGTACGGGCAGTTGCACCAAGAGGGTCCCCCTGGCTGCAAGGAGAGGTCAAGCAAAGAGGCAGAGGGCAGAGCCGTCCCCGGGGGTCTGGCCTTCCCCAGTGCTCAGTGGGAAAGCAAGGCAGGCAGTGCCAGGACGTTAAGCACATCCCAGCACAGGCCAGAGCTGCAAGTTAGAGAGGACCCAGCTCACACCACAGCCAATCTCCCGCCTAAAGAATCCAGATTCCACACTGGGGCCTGCGTGCAAGCCTCCGAAGTAGGGGCCTGCCCTCCCCGCAGCCCTGGCCAGTGGGGATGGCACTGACCCTCCATCTCTCAGTGCATCTGTTCCCAGCTCCGCGCCCCCCCCGCACCTGCTCCCCTGCTTCATGAGGGAAATGTCATGGGCACGTCCCTGACAGAAACCGGGACTGGTCTTGAGACAGGGTGTTGGTGGCACTTCCTGAGGTACACTCAGCTGATGCCAGGCAGGTCACGCCCCTCCCTCAAAGGGGGCTCGTTGGGCCTAGGGTGCTCTGAAGAGCAGTGAGGCTTAGCGGGGCTGAAACTGAGTCTGCTGATAATCATGTCTCAGTTTCCTGTTGGGTGAGTGGGTTGTGCCCAGTGACCTCTAAGGCCAGTGTCCCGCCGTCACTGCACACAGCCACCTCCAGCCCACTTCTGAGCATCGGCCACCACAACTGCCCTACCAGTCTGGCCCCACCCCACCCCTAGGCTCCACTGAAGATGCCAGAAATGCCTCCAGATGAAACACTAACTTTCCCTGACTATTGAGCTAGAAAAAGCCTGACGTCCCAACAGGGGACACTTGAGGCCCCAGAGAACCTACTGTCCCCATCTCCAGGGCTATGGACCCCTCCATCAAGCTTTCATCTGGCAGAGAGAAACCCCTTTACTACACTGTTTCCACTTCACTGTATGAACTTCAGTCTCCCAGCTCAGGTCAATCCCCCTCTCCCCGGCCAATCTGACCAAGCCCCTGAGCTAAGGACCACCCATGAACCAGCTGGGCAATTATATAGTAGATTATCTAAAATCAGGCTTGTCTGCAGGGCAGGACAGCCTCTAGAATATATCCATATGAATATAGCATGCTCTCTCTCTCTCAACATATATGTATATGTATAAATAGATACATTTCTATGTGACTTTTTTATGCCCCCCTTCACTTCTTCCCACCTGAGGTCATTTTCAGAAGAGCGAGAGTTGGACTGCACAGCCTCCAGCGTGCCAGGCACTCGCCACTGCTCAAACCAACGCCCACCGCCACCCTGCCCGATGTCCTGAAGGCCCCCGAGGCATCGTGGGACCATGCCAGGCCCGTGCCAGGACCAGCGCCTTCCTGGATCCCCAGGCTGGGTATTCACCTCTGGACAAAGGGCGCTGTGGCCGGGTGGGCAGCAAATGCCTGTTTACTGGATTCCCCAAGGAGGCTGTTCTGCCGTCTCCGTCTGCCTGTCTCCAGGGGAAGCCTGATGGCTGGTTCTTTGGATTTCTCTCTCTCTCTCTCTCTGTGTCTGTCTCTCTCCTGGTCTCCTTCAGTCTCTCTCTCTCGATGATGATGATGAGACAGATAGAAGGCAGATACCATGGCCCCTCCATCTTCTTGCGCTAGCCCCAGTCTGTGGTCTACAGCAGAAGTAGCGGCAGCCAGTTCAGCTTCTAACTACAGAGCCTTGTATCGTTTTTCTTCGTGAGCAGGAGTGCCAGCACCGGCGAAAGGAGACGAGGAAAGATGCAGGCTGAGGGGGTCCTGGCCAAGCTCAGTACAGGCCAACAACTAGAAAAATGCCCCCAAATTGCCCACACCTGGGGAAGAGGGCACAGGCGGGGGACAGGGAGCAGCAAGGAGCAGCTACTGTCAGAGCTGGTTAAAGACCACAGAAGCTTTGAGGTTGGCGGGTTCCACACCCTCGCCGAAGGTGATGAGGAAGTACATGACCTTGCGGATCTTGGCCAGCTCCGACAGGCGCTCCCCGAACTCCAGGGCGTCAGCCTCGTTCCAATCCATGGCATCCGAGTCCTCCTTGAGCCAGAAGATGGCAGCGGGGTCCAGCAGCTGGCGTGTCATGAGGTTGGTGAGGTCAGGCGTCCAGTTCTGGGAGGTGCCCGTGATGGTGACCTTGCCCGGCTTGTCCAGCACGACGTCCCAGCGCTCGAACTGCAGCTTCTGCTGCTGGATGAAGTCGAGGCGGTACACGGACTCGGCCGGCCGCAGCAGCTTCTCGCCATCCTGGCGCTTCTCCCCGCGCTGCTTCAGGCTCTCCACGCGTAGCCGCATCTGCTTGGTCAGGTCCTTGTCCAGGACCAGCGGCATGATGAGCTGTGGCTGCTTCGGCCCGTCCTCTGCCATGGCCAGTTGCTGCTGCTGCCTCTGACGATGTCTGGGAGCCGAGTGTGCTGGGGCTTCACGGCCAAGGCAAGAGGCCAACAAAGAGGGGCCCCGCCTACCCTGACACCCTCCCCTTGTCTCCACCCCTCTTGGCCACTGGTCCTTTCCAGCTCCACCCAATCCTCAAAATGGGATGTGTATGAGGGTGGAAGTCCCCAAATGCCTCCTCTCCACTCTTCGCAGAAGTGCTAATGGAGACACCGCAAGCAGGCAGGAGGGTGACAGGCTCCTCGGGGACTAGACCGCTGATGTCAATTGCTGTGGCAACCACCCTGACTACCACCTCCATGGATGGGCTCGGAGCTCACTTGTTTATGAAGAAGGGAGCACTGCATCTAGGCAGTACTGGGGATGGAGGTGGGGAGCAGGCACTCACTGGAGGCACGTAAGGAGAGCCTGGAAGATCCCCTGGCAGGAAGGTGGGGGGAACAAAGACCAGAGGGGCCTGCTGATTTGAAATCTGAGGTCACCCAAGCCAAACCTTGGAGCCATCCTTGACTCAGCCTCTCCCTCACCCCACCACACCCAGTTGCCAAGGCCTGTGGATTCTGCCTCCCAGATACCCTGAGAACCCCCCAACCACTACCACCAATACCCACTGCCAAGGCCACAGCCCAGCCACCGTCATCTCTCACCTAGACCCCTGTTCTCAAACTTTAGTGAGCATCAAAATCACAGGCAGGACGTAAAACACAGACAGCTAGATCCTACCCCCAGAGTTTGTGATTTAATAGGTCTCTGATGAGGCCTGAGACTTTGCATTTCTCCAAGGTGATGCTGCTGCTGGTCCAGGGACTGTGCATGGAGAATCACTGGCCCAGATGATCCTTGTCTACTAGCTCTACCTCAGCTCTGCACCACATGGCAGCCACATGTCCAGGTTCCTCTCTTACTAAAACCCCATCTCTTATTCCACCTGTATCAATCCTCAGTTTCCCCCAGGAGACTTGAGGCCGAGAAAGAATCTGACAAATGTCTATATCCCCAGTATCTCAGGCAGAACTAGGAGCTCAGCTATTCTATGTGGACAAACGGAAGAACTGGAGTATGTGAGTGTAGTGGGAGGTGGAAGAGAGGGGAAGTTGCCATGACATGCCACACACAGAAAAGAGGACAGAGGCCTGAGCCAAAGTGTAACACCTGAAAACAAGCTGATGGGTCTAGTGGACCATAAGCAGTCACTTGCTAGATAAAGGCTAAATAAGTCAGTGGGATCTTGAACTATGTAAATAGCAGCAGGACATAGAGGGGAACAGAATACCTGGTCCCGTTGAGTGCTGGGGTCAGTTTTGAGGGTCGTTGGCAGCAATTCCCCTGGAGTGTTTGAGAGAACCACAGAACAGAGATGTGAAACCGCCTGGCTCCCACAAAACCTTTTACTTCGTAGCAGGAGGGGCAGAGGAGAGGGGAACAACATGGCTGAGGAGTTACTTTTGGGGAAGCTTCTCTTTCCTTCATAAAGAGGAGTGTTTCTTTCTTTCTCAGAACTAAATTTTGCTTTTTATTTGCACATTTGCATAGTTTTTGTCTGTGATGTCTCCCCACGAGACCGTAAGCCCTGAGAGGGCAGAGACTATGTCTGCCTTGTTTTTCACTTTAAGCCAGCGCCTAGAACAGAGCTAGCCACGTGGGAGGCCCTCAGATACTACTTGTTGAATGACGAATGAATGAATGAATGAATGAATGCTGAGAGAACAGTCAATGCTATGAGCAATGGGGTCCAAGGCCAAGGACAAGAGGAAGAAGATGGGCAGATGGGGAGAGAGCACAGTCCGTGACCAAGGTCAAAATGTGGTTTAGGGACAGGTGTGTGTTGGGGTGGAAGAGAGAGGGAGATGCCTGGAAGGTGCGGCCAGACAGACTGATCTGCCAATTGAGGACTTGTAGGGAGAGCAGACCCAGGTGCAGGCTGTGGCTGCCATGGGAACAGGAGTTCAAGACAACCGAGGGTGACAGCTGATAGAGATGTTACCGAGAACTGAAGCCGGGGTGATGAGGGCAGGGTGTAGCGATAAGGTGTGCGGGGCTGGGGGAGGGCAAAGGGCAGGAGTCTGTAGGGGTTTAGATGGGGAGGGTGTCATCTGGAAGAAGCACTGAGGGAAGAAAATGCCTGCCTCATCTCTGAACCTGCAGGACATGGGGGGAGGTGTTCAGCTTCTACTGATGGGGATCCAGGGGCCACATAACCCCAAGGAGAGCCTGGTTTCAGCCTGAGCAGAGGGTTACGGATCTGCAGGAGGAGGCTGAGATGGAAGCTGTTTCCGGGGCTTGGGCCTCACAGACAAGGCAGGAGAGGTGGGGTTAGTGGGAACCAGGGACAGCCAGGGAGAGGAAGGAAGGGAAGAAGGGGGAGGCGGAAGGCTGCAGGTGGGGCTGGGTCCGCTGCCATCCACGGACCTCCGCTCAGCCACCAGACGCCTTGAGAGGATCCACCAAAGCTTGGATGTAGGAATGATAGAGGAGAGAAGAAACTTGCGTAAATGAATGCAAAAATGTGTATCAAAAAACAAAGCAAATAAGCAAACAGCTCTTTTAACCCCCAATGGAAAAAAGACTAGAAGAAATATAGAAAACTCTTAACACTGGTTGTTTCTGGGTAAAGAAAACCTTCAATGACTTTATACTTTTTCAAATCTTTTGTCCCCAGTACCTTGAATGGTGCTGGGGCATAGCTGGTGCTCAATTAACATGTATTCAGTAAACTGCTATATAGCTAAAGGGCACGAACTGCTCACACAAGAGGGGCAGAGGCCAGATGGGGAACAGTTAAGTGGAACCAAAAGACAGCCAGGCCCTGCCACCAGGTGCCTCCCCCAGGCCCCGCCCCAGCACTGCCCGGCCCCCAGCACTGACTCTCAGACACTTAGGCACTCCACCGGGACTCCGCTCTCTGCTTCCTATGGCCAGGGCACAGCTGACCACCACCCTCCCCGGGCCGGGCACCCCGTGGCTCAGGCCTGCCCTGAGCTGTGCCAGGCTCTGGGGGAGGTGAACTCCTGTGGCTTGGGCCAGGCAAATGCGCCACCCTACTGTCACATCCTGATTTCTGATCTGCCCAAAGTCTACTGCCCTGCCCTCAGGTAATGCACAGTCAGCTGGGGGGAGGGGTCTCATGGTGGGGGAGGCCTGCTGTCGAGAGCCGTCTGGCAGAAAAGAGAAATAGACGGGAACCCAGTGGGGGGAGGGGGTTAATGGGTGCGGACGGCCCCTTATGCAGCGGGGCCTGCCCTCCACAGGCGCCTTGAATCCTCTCGCAACCCTGTGAACTGGAAAGCTCAGGTTTACACTGAGGCCAAGAGAAGGAACGTGACCTGCCCAAGGTCACACAGCTAGCAAGGGACCCAGGTCTGGCTGGCTTCGAATTGTTGGCCTCAGGCTGCCTCAAGAACTAGAAGTGCAAGAGTAGCTTCCTGGAGGAGGAGGCATGTGTGTTGAGAGTGTGAGCCTCCGAGGCTCTGCATCCCCAGAGTGAGGTGGGGGGAAAGAGCAGGGGTGCAGGTCAGCCTGAGCACTCCCGTTCCACTGAGAACACAGGGTGGGGCAGGGGAGGCCCAGCAGGGCAACAGGCCCAGAGGTGAGGGGTGACAACAAACAGGGCCCAGTCAGCAGGGACCGGAGGGAAGGTAAGGCACAGTAATGAGCTCCCCAGGGCCTCATGCCTCCTTTTGGGACCCAGGGGCTGTCACCACAGCAGCAACAGGAGGCAGAATGTAATTAGTCCAGAGCACCCCACCCTGCTGCAGCCTCCGGAGGACACAAGCTCCTAGAGATCAGCCTCCTGGCCCTCGAAGCCTCCAGCCAAGCCAGGGGCCCAACACCTTGCAGGAGGAACTTTCGGCCCAGAGACAAACACAGGGCTGCCAGTCACACTACATCAATGACAGGCCTCCCCTGCAGGTTCTAGGTTTACTCACAAGATGAGGAGCTATACCAGGGGACCAGCTGGGGCCAGGCCCAGGACAGGAGCAAGCTGAGGCTCCTCCCTACAAATGACCAGACAGCCCATTCTCCAGGAGGGGACACAGCAGGAGGCTACAGGAGTGAGACTGCTGGCCAGTAGCTGGGTCTGACAATTTGGGGAGGGGCTCCGTTCTCAAAACTTTCG